CGGCGCTGCGGGACCAACCCAGCAGCACCCCAGCTGCTCTGCCCCAGGCGTGTCAGCCGCTGTTGAAACTGATCAGTTTCAGCAGCGGCTGAATCTGGACGCCAGTTCCGACTTACATACAGATTCAACTTAAGAACAAACCTACAGTCCCTATCTTGTACGTAACCCGGGGACTGCCTGTACTACTAATAATACCCAGGGAAAGAAATAAAAACTAATCATGATACTTTTTTCTCTCAACAGTGTGACACACAATTTGTTCAACAATCAAAGAGGAAGCCGCTACCATCATTACCCCAACAGTTCCCTGACGAGTGTGATGAGAATATCAGAGTCATTGCACTCTATGATTTTTTTGCCAAAGGACCTTCTGACTTGACGCTCAGAAAATCAGAAGAATATATTATCCTTGAGAAGTATGACCCCCACTGGTGGAAGGCAAGAGACCAGTTTGGGTAAGAGAAGAGGCATTTTTGGACTCATTTGTTTCTATATTCCTAAAAAAGAATCCTCAAGAAACAAACAAAAAACCATAAACAATTAGAGGCATAAATACATTTTAGGGATAGATTTTTAACGTGTTTTGTCTCTGAGACATCAATATAAAGCAGTCAGATTTTGAAAAACATTCAGCACCCAGAATCTTCCATTGAGAAAGGGAATCTAGATCAGGAGTGGACAATAATTTTTAATGGAGGGGCACTCTGAGATTTTTGGTAAGTGGTCATGGGCTACTCTTCTATGGAGGAAGTGCAGGATCCGGGATGGAGGTTGGGTGCAGAAGAGAGCTTCAGCCATGGGGAAGGGATGAAGAAAGGGGTGTGGCATCTGAGAGGAGTTGTAACTTGGGGTAGGAGCTTGGGATGCAGGTGCAGGAGAGGATTCTGGCCTGGGGGACGGGTTCTAAGAGGGAGTGCACAGTCTGGTAGGGAGTTGTAACCTGGGAAAAGGGGCTAGAGAGAGTTTGGGTGATGACCCCAGGCAGGGGAATGGGGTGCAGGGTTCAGGAGGGGGTATGGGTGCAGGAGAAGATTCTGGCCTGGGGGATGGATTTAGGAGGGAGTGAAGGTCTGGGAAGGTGGTGTGACCTGGAAGAAGGGGAAAGCAGGTACAGAAGGTTTGGGTGGTGGCCTGGGCCAGGTAGTTGGAGGGGAAACAGGAGGTGGAGTGCCAGAGCCATTCTCTGGCTGGGAGGCACTTACCTAAGTGGTAAGAACATCCCTGGTTCAGACTAGAAAGGTTCAACCTGTACTGCAATTAAGCCAAATTCTGCTCTCAGTCACACTTGTGTCTATTTTCCCATGCAGTTTCATATGGTGTTATCTTATATTGAAGTTACCACCATTATAGCTGAGATAATTGTAGAAAGGTTATGTAATTCAAGTAAAATATTATTAGATAAACTTAAAAAAACCCAAATAGTCTGGTAGCACTTTAAAGACTAACAAAACATCAAGATGGTATCATGAGCTTTTGTGGGCACAGCCCACTTCTTCAAATGATTTCTTCAGGCGCCTCTGCAGGTATTCAAAGGGTCAGCCCTGGAGCCTGGGGTCAGCTGGGGATTCCCAGCTGATTCCGGGGCATGGCATTTCCCCAGAACCTAGGATCAGCTGGGGAGTCCCCAGCTGACCCCGGGTTCCACAGGGCACTTCCTTGGGCACTTCAGCTGGGGACTTCTCAGCTGATCCAGAGTCCTAGGGAAATGTCGTGGGGAGCCCGGGGTCATCTGGGAAGTCCTGCTGGGGAGTCCCACTGGGGATTCTTGTGCATTTCAAAGCAGGCACCTACCTGCAGCCCAGAGTCAGCAGGATTTCCCACTGGCCCCGGCTATATGCAGAGTTCCACATTCCTCCTTTGAAATGTACAAGAGCCTCTACTGGGGCTCATGTACATTTCAAAGGAGGAATTTGAAAGTGCCTGTCGACTAGTCAATTAACCGCATTTTAACATCTTTATTGTAAACCCATTGGAGCAGGGACCATGTCTTCCTCTAGAAACTGTACAGGCAGATGCTCACTGACTTACATAACTACCTTTGGACCAGAGGCATAGTGAGGGTGTTATGTGCCTGGGGGCAGAGACAAAATTTTCACACCCCACGGCTGCATTGCGGGGCCCTGAATCTGGCACACAGCTGAGCCCATCCCTGGGAGTAGGAGTGGGGGAGTTTGTACCGCGTTTCCCCCTGCCCCCTCCTGTTTGGGGCTGGGCCCTTGCACGCACTAACCCACCAGCAGAGATAGAGGAGGCTCCAGCCAGCCGCAGTGGGCGGAGGAGCAGGTGAGCCAAGGGATGACAGGAGGGACTAAACTGGCACCCCCCTAGCATGGCACTTGGGGGCAACTGTCCCGCCCTACACCACTGCTTTGGACATAACGGACTCTTTTAGAAGATGGGAATTAAAATAATTGGCAGTTCTATAAAATATAGGATCATTAATTAATACATGTGCAACTCTGACAATCTAGCATTTGAGCCAAATTCTGCTTTTTAATGTGGTCATTGGCCATGCATATGTGTTCAATGGTAAACTTGGCTTAAGTGCCATCTAGTGGGGCTCATGTAGAGCTGGCACACAAAAACATAATTACCTATTTCCTGGTTTTCCAAAGAATAGTCCCAAACTGAACAATTCATATAGAAAGCATTTGCCCATCATCTGCCCATTGAAAAAATCACCAGCTTGATAATAAGAAACCTGAGGTCTTTTTTCAATGACTGTTTGAATTCAAGACACATAGGTCATACTTATACATGGCCAACAGTGTAAGTTGCCCTTTTGTTCAGTGAAAGGAATATTCACATTTTAATCAAATTCATACTTTACATTGTGTTATAACATCTTTTATTTGTATTTAATTTAGAAATGAAGGCCTAATTCCCAGCAATTATGTAACAGAGAACAAGCGAAATAATTTAGAAGCACATGAGTAAGTACAGTTGAAAATGATTATTGTGCCAGCTCCCTAAGAAGTTAAGGTTGTTCATTTTTATGGCCTGATCTTTCAGTTCTTACTAAAATCCAGCAGGAGTTTGCCTGAATAACGACTGCAGAACTAAGGTCCTTATTTTTTCTCTTGTCTTCTAGTTTTCATATTCAGATTTTGGACCTGATCCTCAAATGCATGGCTGTTTGCTTTGAGATCAGAATGTCATAAACACTGGTATCTCATAAGCAATCACATGCAATTATGTTATTTATTGTTTAAGTCAAGATGTCATGATTTGGAAGTTTCCTTTTTGTGAGCACTCCTACCTGGATGCTATTATGTTCTGATCTTTTCCTGTTCTGTACTTTTCAGTGACTGTCCAATGCTGACTTCAACCTATTTAAGGTTCATTGGCTGGTGAAGGGTAAAATTCCCAAATATTCCAGTCAGAGATGGGCATGAGTCTCCAAGTGTAAATGCAAATTTCCTCAAACTTGTGGCTGTTTGTATCCAAGATTTTGCTTAGAGTCAACTTTAGTTACAACAAATGGGAAAAACAATTGAAATACATCCCTCCTTTCCCAAACTTCATCCCATCACATATTCAATTACATGACACGATATGAGCAAAAATTCTATACCTTGGACTATAAACTGTGAATCCACCCATTTATTAAAGGCAAGAGACTAGACCTTCAAACAACTATTGTAGCATTGGCAAGAAATCACAACACTTCATATTACTACTGCGTAGATTTTTTTAAAATAAATTAGTGAGACCCAGAACACCACAGGGGCACATCTTAAAAATATCACTATGAAACAGGAAACACCTTTTTATTTAATTAGGAAACTAATGGGATTTTTCACTAGTTTGGATGAGCTGAGTGATAGTAAGAGGTAGAGATAAAATTAGTAGTGGTACCTTTAATTATTTCCAGACTTTCTGACATTTTGATTTTTCACACTATGACTTTCTAACTATTTCAGTTTGCAACAATATTTTTTTTTTAAAGTTAGCTCTGAATTTCCTCATTCGCAAATATTTGGGTTTTTTTGTGTGTTGTTGTTGTAACTGAAATGGTCTTACAAAGTTGTTTAAAATGAATAATTGCTTGTTTCCTGAGTTTTTTGTTTGGGAACAGTATAATGGTTAGGAAGTATTGCTTTTTAAAATAGAATTAATAAGTGTTTTTTATTAAAACAGCTTGAAGTCAGAACATAATTTTGCTGTCTTTTCTTCGTCATTTATTGTAGGTGGTACTGTAAAAACATAACAAGGAATCAAGCAGAACTTCTACTACGGCAGGAGGTACAGTAATTCAGTTGATTTATAAATAAACTTCCATTGTTTTTAAAGTTAGGTACAAATTACATTTTTCTGTTAATGTTACAAGATGCAACATGAGCAGTCCAGAAATTAAATCCAGAACTGTGTATACAATAACAGTATTTTAAAATGAAGGGATGTCTTGGAGATCTAAACATGGAGGCTGTGTCTAGACTGGCAAGTTTTTGCTTTTGCGGAAAAACTTGCCAACTGTCTACACTGACCGCTTGAATTTCTGCAAGAACACTGACTTCCTACATTCTGAAATCAGTGCTTCTTGTGAAAATACTATGCTGCTCCCGTTCGGGCAAAAGGGCCAGTGTAGACAGCTCAGATTTGTTTTGTGCAAAACAGCCCCATCGCAAAAATGGTAATTGGGGCTTTTTAGCGCAAAAGCGCGTCTAGATTGGCACGGATGCTTTTCCGCAAAAAGCATTTGCGGAAAATCATGCTAGTCTAGACGTAGCTGGAGTGTTGAATAATTAGACTCCCTAGAATTTGTTTTGTTTAGGTCTTCTACTTTCCATATTAGATAAACTGAATTCTGTGCAGCTTATTGCATTTGTCTTTGGATGAGATTTTAAAAACAAATCTGTCTCCTTTGTATAAACATTAAAAATCTAATACTTTCTTAATTTAAAGTAGAGGTTTGCTGCACTGTCCTTAACTAAAATCTCCCCTTCACTAATTGTCAAGCTGCAACTTATGCCCATTTAGTCCTGGCCATAAGCAATTGTGATTTATTGGTCACAATATTTTGTGTGAAGCATTGTAAAACTTTGGGGAAGAAAAGTGCAATGTCAGTATAAAATACAACTGCTATGGCTTCAAATTATTTCCATTTTAGAAAGAATAACAGAATTTTGCTCAAGGGCCAACACAGGGATTGGATAAAATGCGGCTCAGCCAGAGGCAATGCACAGAAATACACATCATTATAGATGTTAGAGGTGCAAAGGAACAGCTGTTATACAATCCAGTCTATCACCCTGCTTTACAATATATTTTCTATTGATTTGTGTGGTTTAGTTTTCAACGCTCCAAACATGGAGCTTTCACCACTTCCTACAGGAGAGAATTCCAATATATTTACTTCTGAGAACTTTTGTTACAGTCAGTCTAATTATTCCATTTCTTAATTTCATTCCATTACCATAAGTTATACTCCCATGTATCACTCTAAGGATACATCTACATTGCAACGCTTTTCCGGGATACCAGAGTATCCCGAAATAGCTATCCAATGTCTTCACAGCAAGCCCGTTATTTCGTGCTCGCTATTCCGATGTCTCTGTAAATCTCATTCTACAAGGAGGAAGGGATGTTTCAGAATAGCACTTTATTTTTAAATTTGGCGCTGTGACGAAATAAGAGATTTCGAAATAGCATCAAAATAAGATAATGCAATTTGTGTAGCTCAAATTGCGTATCTTATTTCAAAAGTTACAGTGCAATGTAGATGAATCCTACGTGATTCCTAGTCACCACAGCATTATCACTCTTCACATATTTATAGACCTGGATGTTCTATCTTTAGTTTTGTGTTAACAAATCACAGATATGGAACTCTACTAGTCATTTACATCCTCCAGCCAATGGCATGGCTATGACTACAGCCCTTAAGCTACCTTATATAGCAGGGGTGGGCAATAATTTTTTGCCGGAGGCCACTTTAGAAATCTTTGAAGTAGCCCCAGGCTACACCAGAAGAGGCAGGGCTTCAAGCAGAAGAGGCGGGGCCAGGATACTTCCCTGCTTCCCCATCCACAGACCATGAATGGTCTGGGGTTGGGGAGCACGTGAAGTCTTTGCCCCGTAGTAGGGTTCCCCTGAGGCGACCATGCCCCTGGGGTGGGAGGAGACTTTGCATGTTCCTCCTTGTGCCCCCAGGCCAATCAGGACTTGGGGGCAGGGGAACACACAAAGTTTCCTCCGCCCTGCCCCTGCCCTGCAAAGAACACATTGCACTTAGAAGCGTCTTGCACTCCTGGCAGGGTGGGAGGAGGCTTGGCGTGCTCCCCTACCCCCAAGTCCTGATTGGCCTGGGGTGGGTGGAGTATGCAAAGTTTCCTCCACCCTGCCCTCCTCCCTGCGAGGAGCAGAAGGTGCTCAGAAGTGCCGTGCAACTCCTGGCAGGGTGAAAGAAACTTTGTGTGCTTACCCCTGCCTCCAGGTACTTAATTGGCCTGGGGGCGGGGGAGCGGCAGGGCCTCTGCAGGCCAGATCAATTTGCTTGGCAGGCTGATCCAGCCCGTGGAGGCCCTTTTTCCCATCCCTGCTGTATAGCCAAAGCTTACTGCAACCTGCTACACAGTGTTGAGGCTATATGATTTACACAGGTCACAGTCCAACTGACCACATTTCTACAACACAGATGTCCCACCCCCAACCTCCTTTCCACATTCATATGAAGACAGCTGCCAAAGTTTGTGGTCATTCTCCTCCTGGTGGCCTGAACACGAAGTAGCATAGTGGTTCCACTACATTTGGAGCCTTTTGCAGATGCCAAATAGCCATAAAGTTTTAGCTCTTTATTCTTTGTTTCAAGGGTCTGTACTGCATTAGAGCAAAGTGAACATTATCAGAAAAAAGTGAACTGGGTTAAATGTAAATGTTCTTAAGATGTTAATATGAATTATTTTCCACATACTGCTGACAGGCACCAGTATTTTAATGATTAGCAATGAATTATATCCATGGAGTTGCACCATTCATCTGGTATACTGAGTGTAATACAGCACAAGGAGTCTCCAGACACAGTTACAAACATAGCATTCAATATTACAAGGCTTGTATACTTGGTTCAAAAATATAAGCAATGAAATAGCTGCAGATAGGAAGACCATCACAATAGCTAGAAACAGTAATAACTGTATGGATATAAAAATTAGGAGGTTAGCTGGAGATCATTACCATACTAGATTACTATACAGGCAGTCCCCGGGTTACGTACAAGATAGGGACTGTAGGTTTGTTCTTAAGTTGAATCTGTATGTAAGTCGGAACTGGCGTCCAGATTCAGCCACTGCTGAAACTGACCAGCAGCGGCTGAATTAGGACGCCTGGGGCAGAGCAGCTGGGGGGGTGCTGCCGGGTTGGTCCAGTAGTGCCCAGAGCGGCACTGCGGGACCAACCGGCAGCGCCCCAGCTGCTCTGCCCCAGGGTCCACAACAAAAGCCTGGTCTGCTGGGGGGAGGGGGCGCACAGCGCCC